GGAAAGATGTCCACAGGCATTAACGACATGTTCCGGAAAGCATGGTCTGGTCACCTTGAATGACATCCATGAAAATGCTCGGTCTGAGAATGCGGTCCTGCTAAAATGTGGTTTATGATGACTAGGGTGCTGACAGCTCGCCAGGTTGGCGGCTCCTTTGAAGGGCTGGTTTATTAAGTACTTAGCTGAGAGGTGCTTGTAAATACATCAAGGCATTGGAGCAGCACTCTTCAAGGGAGTTCTATGTTGATGACCACGCAGTCCATAAATAGAGTGCGGAGAAAAAGCAAGGCGGGCCGCCACTGAGCACCACTCTGTAAGTCGCCCCAGGTCTCAGATGGAAAGCAAGGGCAGCCCGCACTGCTGAAACCACAGGCAGACTAGGAAGCCAAGGCCTGAGGGCCTTTTTTTAAAGGAAAAAAAAAAAAAACCCAAACTTAGCTTTTTCTCCATCCTTCATCCCCAAAGTTTCTAAATGTCTATGATGCAACTGATGGCATGAGCTTTTCAAGCTTGCCTTAATACTGATACGCTGTATCAGTCAAGAAGATGGAAAACAGTACCTGAGTTCTCAGTTCTTCTAACTCTCTCCAGTCATCTAGTTCTAACACCTTGTAACATTTTTTTTTTCTTTTTTCTTTGGTCAATCCAGCTGGCAAAGATTGACATAAGTAACCCAGTATAGCTGAGAAGCAACGTTGACTCAGTATCTCAAAAAGCTACCCAGATAATAAGTACCAGAAAATGGTGTTTCCAAAGTAATTTTGGGGAAATCACTAGCAAAACAAAATAACTTGGAATACTAAAATTTAGGAGATGATTTAAGAGGTCAAGCCCCGCCAGTCATATGCAAGTCTTAGAGCACCCACACTCCCGCAGGCTGATCAGACGTTGCTGGGGTTTGGAGGTTAAGAAGGCCTTGGTCCCACTGGAACCTACAAGAGAGCCTTCCAGGCTGATCAGACGTTGCTGGGGTTTGGAGGTTAAGAAGGCCTTGGTCCCACTGGAACCTACAAGAGAGCCTTCCACGCCGGAAGGGTTGCCCCAATAAAGTGAATGGACAGCTAAGACGCCCTCTGCCTACCCACACATCTTTCCTTCACACGTGCCGTGCTCAGTGTCATTATTCTGAGTTCAGCCTTCTTTTCCCCATCTTTAAAAACACACATGTCTCCAAAGCAGGAAGTGTATTCAGGTGCCCACCCCTGAGTCCAGCCCTAACGGTTCATTATCATCAATACCTCACAATAACAGAACCCCGTCTAATCAGGACTGCCGAGGGAATGACCAGCCCAGCACCTCTCCTATCTCCCCGTGGGCAGTGGGGGTTTTACTTGACATTGACCAGCCCTGTGTCTAAGTCCTTGATCCCAGGGTGGGGAGCTGGGAGAAACTGCCACCCACTAGCACTGCTTTTGGAGCCAGAAAGGGTCTCCGTTTGAGTTCACTTCCCATCTTGGAGAATCCTGGCAATTGTTAACCTCTGAGGTTCAGTTTCTCTGCCTGTAAACCACACCTACAGGATTGTAGGAATAACACAATGTACAAAAAGGGTCTGACTTGTACCAAAAGATAACTGTTCCCACTAAAGAGTTAAGCCTTGTGTCTCCTTGATGCTGACGGCAAGACAGATCAAAAACAAAACTTGGCTTCTTAAGTTTCTCTGGTTTTGACAGTTTTCTGCACCAGTAGATTTCACCCTGTCTCTGTTTTCCCCGAAAGGAGGGAGTTACATACATGGCTTAAACGTGGTTCGTCATTTTTGGTAAATCAGGAGTCAGATTCTTAAAACTACTTGCTCGGGTTGCCTGAAGCCATCTCTAAGGGGAGGTGTGGCTGACGCGGTAGCAGCGGCTCTCTGTTCGTCTAGACTCTGCCTGGTCCATGTTTCAAAAGAATGTGTGTCCAGTTTTCTTTCCTGTGACTGGGAAAGAAATCTAAAACTCGGCCACACAAGTGCGTGATGAGGTCCTGACTTGCTTAAACGTGCAGCCATGACCAAGTGGCTTTCTCTTTGATTTTAAGACCTGGTGAAGTAGGAAGTTGAAATTAACCTCAGCCCTTTTATAGCTGAAACCTCAACAAATAAACAGTGGCTTGGTGGCATGGCAACCTAGCCCCCTTTTCCATCCGTACCCTGCTTTAGATCATTTGAGGTGCCTATTTTGAGCGCTTCTTAAGCACATCTGATTCTTAGATCTGTGATTCCGTACTGAAGGAGTTAAAGGGCCAGGCACGACCCTCCGATGAAGCCCAAGAAAGACTGGGTCCATCAGCCTATCAACCTGGGATCTCTCGGAGCCCCTAACTGCTGACGATTCTGCCACGCTGAAAACATCCACCCATTGGTTCGGCACGGCTGTAAAACCGCTCTTGTTAATACTATGGGGATGTTTTTCTTCCAACTACTGCGGCCATTTCAAAGAGAGCCATAAACACATGCTGAATTTTTATACAAAGCATCTTCTTAAATATAATATAGAAGCTCTAGTGCTAAGCTGGGAAAATAACCATTTTCATACCCATCAAGAACAAAATGAAGGTTTTGGCTGAAAGAGACTTTACTGTGATTCCTGTTAACTTTCTAATTTCAGGGGGGAAAAAAAAAATCCCAAGGGTCTACTCGAAACAGGACGAAAGTAAAAAAGCATTAGATTTCTAATGGGAAAAAAGAAAGGAAAAGGAAAAGTCGTTTTACATAAAACTCTCCCAGATACTTATTTTTTTAAAGCTGTTCCTACAATTTTACAAGTGATGCCCTGGATGGCAAATCATATTTTGGAAAGAAAGGACATCGGTGACATAGTTAACACATTCTCTATAGAGCAGCAACTAAGACTCCAGGGCACTCTCAAAGCAAGTTATTATTACTTAGAGGTTGCAGCAGTAAAAAAGTTTTTAAAAGGAACAAGGAAAGGGGGTTAAACCTGATATTGTGCTAAGCATACAGTATTCCAATGAGCTGAGGAATGCCCGTCAGTGGCAATGCCTCCGACCAAGAGCTGCTGACGGCTGAGAATAAGAATTCAACACCCCACCCCCAGGCCCACCATTTTCTTTTCGGTAAAGAGAGTGTATCTGACCAGGAAGAGAAATCAGATCTGGTTCACTCTTCACCAAAACTGAAACCTAGTCAGACTCCTGGTGATGATTTCCACCGGCCCCCATGTGGTTAAAGTTTCCACTGACTTTCAAAATGCTTCATAATTTTGGTTTCAAGAGCAGCAGAAAAAGGCAAATCCCTTTATCTGCCCAGGAGTAGAAATGGTCAGTGACACCATGAGAGGATAAGAAAACAGAAGTCTCCCCTTGGATGTTACAAGCGGAATCCTGCAGATGACACGCATGTAAACAGCCCTGAACACAAGATCCGGCCATCTCCTAAAGAATTTTATTCTATTTAGAAGAAAAGCAGCAATTCCCCCGCCCTGCCAAGCCCATCTCACTTAATGTGCCATTTGATCTAATTTCTCACACATGCTTGCATTTTGGAATTTCAAAAAATCAATATGCATATTTTGAATGAGTATGCGATGATGAAGCACCAGGAAACCAATGGTTTCATGGGACCTCTTCTTAAATACATCTCAGAGGCAACTGGAGATGAGAGGCAGCCCTCCCAAAGTCAAGCTTGGGTTTCTGCTGTCCACCAAAGGGGTAATCTACAGAAAGACCCCTTAAGATCCTGTGTCTGCATAGGATCTTACATGAGGGGGATCCCTGGGAATTTTTCATGCAAATAAGAGAACCTTCCCCAGAGATGTGAGTGTGAGTGAACAGCATGGGCCATCAGGCTCTGGGGAAGACGACGGAATTCCCTTTTGAGAGCCCTACATGTGCTAATCCCAAAAGAAAGCTATGGGCTGGAAACCCTCAAGGACTTGGGATTCTTGCGCATCTTACAACAACAGCTCAGAACACAAGAACACCCAGGAAATCTAAGTTCCGCTGTCCCAGCAGGGCAGGTGCACGTCCCCAGCTGGCCACCTGTCCAGATATGCCCCTTATCTTTTCCTGTGAGTCAAGCAAGCCTGCCCCTTTGAGAAAGGAATCTTACTGCGACCCTACCGTACACAGCTGTGTCCCGCACGCCCTGAGAAAAACCACTGCATTTTGGAAATTTGAAATGGTATCACAGAGCAAATAATCACTGACGTCAGTGCTTTCTGCAGTGTAAATGAACTCTGGGTATTATCTCGTTTGGCACAGTGGGTTTTATGCAATTACTGTGTTTTACAGTGTTTTTGCCATTGCCAGCTAACCCCCACCATGGTGAGAGCAGAGTCCGTCCACCTTCTGGACTGACTGCAAATTCATTAGTTGTGATGAATACCCTGAATAGGACGGTGTCCAGACACTCCTATTTCCTTATATTTTCAAAAGGACATGCATAAAATACAAACCCCACAAATAATTGGGAAGGACGTGAAACGTCTTGACCTTCACCTGGCTTGATGCATGCCATGTGTGTCTTCAAGTCAAGTTAAGTGAGAAAATGGCATGGCCAGAGCTCCTGCTTGAGAAATTCCAGACATGATCTACATAGGAATATAAACATATCTGGATTTACAGGACTTCCCTGGTGGCTCAGTGGTAAAGGATCCAACTGCCAATGCAGGAAACATGGGTTCAATCCCTGGGTCGGGAAGATCCCCTGGAGAAGGAGATGGCCACCCCACTCCAGGATTCTTGCCTGAAGAAATCCTCATGGACAGAGGAGCCTGCTGGGTGACGGTCCAGGGGGTCACAAAGAGACAGACAGGACTGAGCGACTCAGCAACACCCTCTCTATATCCTCTGTAGCAGGGCCTTTCAGTCTGGGGGTCTTGTTATAATGCAGCTCTGACTCAGTAGCTCTGGGGTGGATCGGGCGGGTGCACTCTGCTGTTAGCAAGCTCCCACGCTGCTGGTCCGGGGAAGTGGGGAGGAGAAGCCACGATGGGTCTGGGTGGGTTCTGCCCAGGGGCGAGGCGGCACGTGGGCTCCGCCCGGGTACTTACCCTGCATCTGACTCTGAGGCTGAGGGTTAAAAGCAGTGGAGTGGTTCAAGGAAGCCCGAGGGTTGGGTGTGGGGGCTGGGTGGTGTGGGCTGACCCTCATGGCCGTTCGCCGCAACTGCTCCAGTTCACTGAGCCGCTCGGAAAAGGACAAGCTCCCGGGCTTGGTCTGATCGTCTAGTTTCTGACGATGTCCTATTGCGGGGAGGGGGTGGGGAGGGGGAGAGGGAGGCAAGGAAGGAGGGAGGCAAGAGATCAGAAAATGTACACTGCGGATTGGCTAGAAGTCGGGTGTTTCTGGGTCTCCCCTCCCTCTCCCCTCACCGCCTCCCCACCCCCACGTGGACCTGCTGGAGACCTGCACATTCACAGGCACCCCTGGGGATTCGGGGCTGGCAGACGGGGACCCCTTTCGTCATATTGCTCGGGGGACGCTCCTTCGGTCTGGCCCCGGGCTCCCACCTCGACCTTCTGCACCCATCTGCAGGGGGCAGAAGGCAGAGGGCACGCTGGGCTTGGTGGCAGTGGTGATGCATGGCGGGAGAAGTGGGGAAGGGGCACATCATTGGCACTTGCTTTGCCCTGCGCTGTGGGCTGGAGAAGGAGCCCCAACAGCTTGCCCCCCAGCACACACCCAAGCCTGGCTGGTTTCAGAGCAGCGAAGTGGGCCCTGGAGCTTAGCGGCGCGTCCGGCCAACAGGAAATGAGGTGTGGCTGCAAACCACAGCCCTGGGAGGTCAGATTTCCTGTTAAGTGCGGGGCAACGGCCCCTTCTCCGTTCCTCGCCAGCTCTCCGAGAGCATCCTCTCTTCCCTGGAGCCGACTTCCCCAGGCTCGGCCTCCACGGGTCTGAGATTTGCAGCAGCCTGCCAGCAGAGTGGAAGTGCTTCCCCGGGGGGCCTCTGGAAATCCAAGGCGGGGAGGGGGACCCTCAGCACCTCAGGAGCCAGCAAGTGTCCTCACCTGCCTAGCTCCTCGTCAAAGTCACCGTCACCAGGATGCAAGCAGGAACCCTTCACTAGAGAAGGGTCAGGAGGAGGGTTGAGCGTCCCCTTTCCTCCCTTAGTTCTTTATCAAAATGTCTTTTTAAAAAATGTATTTTTACTTTCTGACTGCACTTCTGGGCTTGTGGGATCCTAGTTCCCTGACCAGGGATTGAACCCATGCCCCCTGCAGTGGAAAGGCAGAGTCTTCACCACCGGATGGCCAGGGGAGTTCCCACAATGTCTTTAAAGCAGAGATTCAGGCCCGTCGAGCAGAGCTGAGGCTCCCAGGTACCCAAGTAGCCACGAGGGTTAGAGGGGTGGGGCTGGGCTTGACCAATTCATTGGAAGAAAGAGCCACTGACCAATTTCACAGCTTACCTCCCCCCGCCCCCATCGTCAAGGGACCTCAAAACAAGACTGGGGAAGCAGCCTCCTTGCCGGCACACTCCAGCAGCCTTCCCCATGCCCGACCCCCTCCTCAGTGAGAAAGATGATGCCTGGATCCCAGCCCTCCATCCCCCACCCCCAGCCCGGGGTGGGAACGGAGTTGGGAGAAGTACATTTCAGCCCAGCTCCCAGTGGCTACAATTATAAAATTAAATTTTATAACTTGTATTATGGTTCCAATCTCCATGGTTTGCCGTTTCTTCCTGCTGCCAGGCCCCTTGGCACAGCTGATGCTGTCTCAAATTCCAGACCAGAAAAAGGACCCACTATACTGCAGTGATTTTATCACGAGCAAGACCTGTTTGGCTCCGAGATGAGGAAAAATACTTAAGCATAATATTTGTGTAGTTCAAATGCAATGCTCCCTCTTTTCATGTGTCACCAAGGCAAATCTGGTCTCTGATTCAGCCCCTGCAGCCCACAGCCCTCGGCCTGAACCAGGCAGCCTGAGTCACGTGGGCCCAGCACGCATGCAAGGCCTCTTACTCGCTGAGTATTTTAAGCACCAGCCTTGTCGGTGAAAGGCCACAGGGCCAGCTCCTGGAACAACCCCTGCCACCCCTTTTCCTCGGAGGGACGAAAACAATCTTTTTCTAGAACATTCTATGTCAGTCCATCATGGAGTCGTTCGTTGTCTCTGGATGGAGCGTCTCTTGACTCCTCCCTCCTCTTATCTCTGTGACACATTCTCGGCTTCCTGACGGTCAGACTGAAAAAATTTGAAGCTTTCTCGCAGAGGAGCAAACGATGCCAACTCAAAGGTCATCCCAAGCATATCAGTGTGGTCCTTCCCATGCCTAGCACCACCTAGCGCTTGGAGTTAGGAGTCAAGGCGAGAAGAAGGCAGGACACATACTTCTGAAAAGTTCTACCGCCTCAGAAAGAATGCCAGTTGTCATAGGGGTGGTGCAGAGGCTTCTAGTAGGTTTTGTACCCATTTCAAAACTGCACATTCCTTGGGCACCCAGTGGTGTTTTTGAAGAACAGCGTGTCAAGGACAGTAGGTGATTCAGGAGAATAATGTGTACCAGATCATTCCAAACACATGCATCTGGTGTTTTGGAGCCTCCGGCCAGCCTTTGAAGAGAGGCCTTCGGTTGTGTCTGCCTCAGTCCCCAAGCTTGAGGAACATGTGCCACCAAGAAACTAAACAGGAATAAGTCGTTTCAGGGAAGCCACTAGTGCCGCCGGGCACAACGCAAGATATATATATATGTTTTAACGAGACCCCTTCTCATCACCCTATGCTTGAAAAAGAAAGTTTCAACGTGTGAGCAGTTTTTGCACCAGCTGACACCTGCCAAAATCGCAGTCATTTACAGAGATTAACTGATGACTGTCTGCTTCAGCAGGAATGTTTGGGCATAGCTCTCAGAGAAAACAATTCTTCACTCTAAGCTCTGTTCTAAGCCCTGAGAGTCTCAGGGCTGAGTTTAATGCTGGAGGAGGGGTGAGAGTTCACCCCACACCCTCCCTGCGTGTGATCCTGGAGTAAGTCAGAGCAGTATTACCCTCCTGGGGACCCTGAGACCCTCCTTCCAACTTGAGCTGGGAAGCTGGAACACCAAGACACGGGGGAGATAAAAAGCATTATATTAAAGGTGTGGCTCTGATGCATTCAGAAGCTAGATCAAAGGAAGACCTAATTCTTCTTTTCTGAAACCATCAGATTTTGTGTGCCAAAGAGCAATATATTTTTTTTTTTTGCATGAAATATAGAAGCTTCCGATATAAACTTTCAAGCTGGGGAAAATGAATGCTTTTTCTGTCTCCAGTTTCCTGTATCTGTGTGCAATTAAGATGTGTTTGCTCCCTGAATTTTAAATACAGGAGTATGGAGAATGTCCACTATCAAATTCACTTTTCTTCTTTCTTACTGACTACTGGGCTATCGAGGGCAGCAGGGAATTCAACCCTGGATCAAACTTTCTGGTAGAAATTATGTGAAGCCTTGAACACATGCATGTTGGCAGCCTGGATTTTTTGGACACGTTGGCAGTCAACTGTGAATGTTTACAAGGTGGCCCTGAACACAGTCACAACCTCAAGATATCATACAGGGACATCTGATCCTAAATTATGTTTATCTATTACTATTCTCACATTTTTTAAAAAAATACTTGATTAGAATTTTATATGTGTGCAAAACTATACAAAGCCAAAAGAACCACCACCAAAAAGAATGAAAACTAATTCATCCCATCTGCTAAATTTTACTTGTTCATTCCAAAGACATACGTCCTGCAGTCTTCTGGAACGGGTGCCGACTGGGCATCCCTAAATGTTAGGATACTTGTGATGGATAATGAGACCAGCTTTTAGTTTTCTGCTATTGAAAACAAGGCTGAGTGAGTATGCATATTTCAGTGACAACTGAAGTCCCCTTTTCAGAAAACCATTGTTGATCTGTGGGTCAAAGTAACTGAAATATAATATAGATCATCCTCAAATTATGATGGCTAATGTCCCAATAAATCCATCCTACACTGAAAATATCATAGACTAAAAATGCCTTTAAAACACCTAACCTATCAAACATCCTAGCCTACCTTAAACGTCGTTAGCACATTAGCCTAGAGTTGGGCAAAATCATCTAACACAAAACCTATTTCATAACCAAGTGTTGACCATCTCAAGTCATTTATTGAATACTGTGCATAATGAAACTGAAAAACAGAACTGTTGTCTGAATACAGGCGGTTGCAAGTTCATCTGTTGTTGATCCCTAAGAGGTCATGGCTGATCACAAAAGCAGCTCGCCACGCATCGCGAGCCCAGGAAAAGATCAAAGTTCACAATTTAAAGTATGGTTTCTACTGAGTATGCATCACACCATTGTAAAGTAAAAAAAATTCTAAGTAGAACCATTCTAAGTCAGGGATAGTCTGTATACGATCACCTATGGGAGAAAACGGATAAGACCAGGTTGTCACCTTTTCTTGTCAAGTTCTGTGTAGAGAGAATCATTTTCTGACAGTAAACATGTAAGTCCATGTTTCTGATATGAGTTTACTGGTTTTCTTGATAGATTATCAGCATAAAAATTAGAAAAGGTGTGTACTCAAAGCATTGTCAGCATGAGCAGCTGAGAAAAACTGGTGCAAAACGATAAGACCAAAAAGACATCTATCTATATACGCGTGTGCATACACATCTCTATCTTCTCTGGTGGCCTAACATCTCCTACAATGCAGGAGATGCGGGTTTGATCCCTGGGTCGGGAAGATCCCCTGGAAAAGCAAATCATAACCCACTTCAGTATTCTTGCCTGAGAAATTCCATGGACAGAGGAGCATGGTGGGCTACAGTCTATGGGGTCAAAAGAGCAGGACACAACTTAGTGACTAAAACCACCCATGTACATCTGTCTCCCTCTATCCATCCATCTCATCGTGATTCTTCTAAAAGGGTATATCTTTTTCAAAAGATGTTTGCCAATCAATCTGATGCTAATGACAATATCTGGATATAAAAACATCGATATTTCTTTCTTTAATATGCTATCCTTTATGGACTAGGGGAAAGAAACTGAAGGTAGCCTAATTTTGGTGTGCTGCAGTTCACACGGTCGCAGGGAGTCAGACACGATTGAGTGGCCGAACAACAAGCCCAACTTTCCCTCCACCTCCTCCCGTAGCACTAAGCTTAGAGAACAGCGCAAGGCTGAAGTCCTTCCGAACTGAAAGGCAAGAGGAATTAGCTTCATTTTTAAACTCCTACGTGGGAGTGAAGTTCAGAGAGATTATGTCATTTACCCAATCT